CCTTCATTTATAAAACAATACTTCATATTTAGATGGATTCAAATCAAAAGATATATTGATAACAAAATTCTAAAAAGTTTCAAAAAAATTTCCATTTCAATTTTTCAGGTACAAAACAAAGAAAACCTGTCAGGATAAGGGATTAAATGGTAATCTGGTACAGCCAATGTCATCTGTTAATTTCTCCCAATCAAAACGTATCCCAGTGCAAATGTTGGTGCATGATGGAAAACCATGTCCTACGGATCTTGTAACCGGTACATATCCTCCATCAAATACACTTCCGAGTACATTCACACCAAGTGGAAATTATTTCACACCCACTAGTTCCATTTTACCCTCTAGTTCACATTACTATATGCCAAATGGATGGGCTTGGTAATTTAACTGAACTTGATTTTTATTTCTACATTAACTCCATTTCTACTTCTGGCAGGATCACTATCACTTTAGGAAGGATTTTGAAAGAAACATATTTATTTTATAATTCAGAATGCGCATGCATTCTTTACCAAAGTAGTAGCAACATTACCAAAATGCAACTCGAATTTTAAATTCCAGTATCTCAAAAGAAATTGAAAAGTCCGGTAAGACTTAGCATAATTTGGAAAAAGGTGGAATTTTGGCCTTATAAACCTTATGCCATATATTGTTAATTCCGCCTCAATATATTAATGAAGTAATGCTTACGATTATTTATTTCACGTAGTTTTATTTCAAAAAATATCGCGACCATAGAATGAAAACCCATTCTTATTTGCTTCATTTATGCAAAACAAAATATAATTTTCATTTCCTGACGCCCTGACGTCCTGACGTTTTGACGCTTCTAACTCAATTCTCTTAGCTAATGGTGCTAAAATGAGATAAGTTCATAAGTTCATAACTGGATTTCAATGGCTTTCTTTTACATCGATTTACGTTGAGTCATAGAATTTCGTTGTTTATTTTAATTTAAGTACAGAGAAAATAACACTAAAATTATAGAGAAAGAAAATGTACAACACCCAAGTGTTCTTAATTTGACCCATCTCGCCAACTTATTCAACACTATAGTATCTTCCGTCCCACTTCATCACGTTAATCAACTGGCAAATAATTCTCAAAGTGAGATTGTTCTCAGGTGAAATACCCTTCTCGGTAGTTCATTCATGTAAATAACAATCAAAAACAACAATAGGTATCAGTGAGCAAAATATATGCAATGGAAACATCAATCCATGGCTACAGGCCACGGAGCACACAGACTGCTTTTCTCAGTCGCTGAAATTATGACGATATCTAATCAAATTTGAATTGAATTTAAGACAGTTTGTTGTCAAAGTATGATATTTAAATGAAATATTGTATAATCAACTAAATTTTAAACTTTAACCAATAGCGCACTACCTGCTCCATTCGTAATCTAATTTCACGTTTTAGCAACTCAAAATTGTCGTCGATTTCTTTCGACCTTCTTTCTTTTGATTTATTTAGCCTCCTTTGTTCTTCTACGCCAAGTTTCACATATTTTCCTCGCAATTCTTCTGTTCTCAAAATCATTTCCTCGAATTACATGTAGTCAACACTTTTTGGCGCATCGACTTTTTTGAAACAAATTGACTAGAGTACAAGATATTTTGGAAATTCGAACAAGATGAGCTAATAATATTTTAGCGCCTCAAAAACTGGAAAGTCTCCGTATCAATCCAATCTGTCTCAGCAAAACTATGCTACTGCAACAATTCATATAAACTATCGTTTAAAATAGCATTGAAAAATAAACAACAAACAGATATCTCTCTGCTCAAAAGATACTGTAAAGGTATGAGAGAGAAGTGGTTTATCTCGTTCAAAGGTAACAATTATTGTTTACACTAAAAAGCGTTGGTGACATACCCCTCCGTTCGAACCATACTGCACTGCTCGACGTAGCGTTTTTGGTGATTTAATCTGGCCAGCTGTTTTGACTCACTGAAATCACAGCAGTCCATTGGAGGATTTCAATTCTTTTTGAATCATCAAAAATTTATTTTCTTATATCTCAAAAAAGCTTCACTCTACTAAAGAATCACTCATGAAATTGAGTTTCCTGAGCGGTTCTTTAATACGGTGAAGTTTTTTTCATATCATTTCGATGGTATGTCCACTCGGTAATAAGGCAATAACTCCTTATAACTAGATGGACATACCGAAATGATACAGTAAATTCATATCATTTCGATTCCCTTACCATTTGCAAAATATAAATTAAAATTATTCTGCACCTTTTTTTTAAAAAAATCAGCTGACGAAACTTCTAAAGTGCCATTAAACAGTTTATTCATTATTTCATCTATTTATAACTGCTTTATTATTGAATAGACGTACCATTTATAAGCCATATCGAGCCGTTTAATGAGTTTCTTCCTATTCTGTTCAGCCAGTGATATGATAAGTTCAGTTCTCTGAGCAGAATTTTTGTTATAATTAATTATCAAAACTTCAAATTACAAAATACAATAAACAAAGCTATTTTTATTCGATCTACTTCCCAAAATATGCCATTTGAAGAAAGGCTAACCTCTTTCTCATATTTAGCATAAATAGCAAAAGTATCCTCATGAACATTCCTCACGGCGGAAGATACTGATCTAAAATGATTTTACTTCATAAATGTGAGGCATAAATTACTTTACAACTTTTAACTTTAAATTGTAAGAAATGGTTCCCAAAATGATGAAATTGACAACAACATTCTTCCATTTCTCTTTCCCAGTTTAAAGCTATGCTCCATTAACAATACTTTTGCTTGGAGGAAGCACTAAGCAGATGCAGGATGGCTTCATGTTTCTTCTTGAAATGCTTCTCCAACTTTACAACTTTTTGACTGCTAGCTAATTCATCTTCTCTTAAAAATATGATTTCCATATCATCCAAATAAAAGCGCTCCTTCAATTTTTCTGCAAATTCAATAAATTGTACAAATTAAATATAAAAAAGTGGTACTGAATTAGAACTTCAGTATTAAATGCTTATCAGTGAGTGGAATGTTTTTATTTCATTCCTGTTAGGAAGTTAAAAAAAAGAAGATAAGCTTAGGACTAGGACTCTGGAAATAGATTCATGTATAATTACCAATACAGCTATAGTAACTGACCGTATTGCATGTTCCTAAGAGATTAAAATTTCCTGAAACTCATAATTATCTGGACATTTCACGCATAACATCGTCTTTATGTCAAAAACGGCTAATGTCCACTGAAGGAATCTTACGGCATCAGCTATTTAATGAACCATCTAAATTGACTCATTAGCACAGAAAATAAAAGCTCACAATGGTTATCAACAATTTTTTTCAAACAAAATAATTGAATACTTATTTACTACGCCTACCGGACATATTCCATCTGTCGAAATTAAGTGACTTTATTCCGTCCTCACATATGCTTTCTTCCTTTGTTTGCTCACTCTCCCAATTTGTGGATCTCGTCTATAAAAACTATTTTATAAAAAACTTTTTAATCCAGAAGAAGAAAATAGAGCAGGATAGAGTACCGCAATGAGTCCATCAGTTCTATACTGAAAATTCTTGAACCTTAAATGCTTACTTTCAATAATAAATCTGCATTATTTTCAAAATTTTGGCCATGATCTATATTACTGAATCCCTTGCCTTCTTGTACCATATCCCAAAATGTTGATTCTGTAGATAGCAATTTCGTCGGTTCGCTTTCCTTTAACGCCACAAGCATTTTCTCACGTTGTTTCATGGTATCTATGGGATTTACCAATGCCGCAGAAGCTGCTGAAAATTGTGAAAATTGCAGAATACGCAGTATATTGATCAATTATTCAGTAATATGGTCTGACTACTCGGAATGAACCGATCATTATCAAATGTCAGGTATTTTAATCGTTTCGTAGAGCCTTCGATATTTTGAATGTTCAAATAAAATCAATTTGTTTCAAGAATTCAATCAAAAATATGGGTTTAGGCATGTTTTAAATGCGGATAATATAGTTGCATACCTTCTTCACTTTCCATTATCTTTTTCATGGCCTCGATTGGATTCTGTAATGCGCTTACTAGATCTGCAATGACAGGCTAGCTTCTTCTTTTTGCAAGTCCCACTTTAGTGTAAATGATTATACTTAAGTGGGACTTGCAAAAACATTAAATTTAAAAGAGCTGATAATTTAATATTTCGGTTATAGAAGAAAATTGAATGTAACATCTGAGTAGATCTTTTATTTTCGGCATGATTCCTTCGCAATGGTCAGTTACTTTGCCATTAATCATTAATGGTAAAGCAAACCAGGGAAGGATGTTCGAAGAAAATTTGAGCAACTTTGTTTTTTCTGTCGAAAAAAAAACGGATAATTATCTCAATGATGTATTAAATAAGCCGTACTAACGCTTCCATCATCGATATAATCATGGACAAGGAATAAAACAAAAAGTGATACAGGACCCAATGGATGGCTGTAAGCATTTCGAAGTGGAATGTGCCGGAATCCTGGCTGAATTGAACGAACCTGAAACTGATTCCATAAAACAAAAGAATTCAGTTGAAGTTTAACATGAAGTAAATTATTTTGAATACAGTAAAGTCATGAATAAAATCAAAGGGAATAAATTAAAAGGAATGGTAAGCACAGAACAATATCAATCTCCTTAAGTGAAATAGGAATGAGCTTGCATGTAAAAAGCAATGCCCAATAAGGCGACCATTGTCTTCGTACACTGCCAAACGAATTAATGCCATCTCCGGAAATATTATCTGTAATACAGAAGCTGATTACCCTCACCGGACTTATGTATTTTCAATGACAAAATTTTCCGCTAAGTTTATGTGCTTATATCGGTAACGGACTTAAGAGATTGAAATGGAAGTCAACGAAGGAAGCGTACTTAATGTGCCTTGCAGTACTTCACTAACAATGATAACATTTGTTTATTTAGTTCTAATTTTCATAAAAATTGTAAACTTCAAAGTTTCTAACAACGAACCTTCTCGAATTTAAAACCTTCCTCACAAAAGTTCATATAAATGGGGTTAATTCCGTTATCCATGACAATTTTCGTGCGGTATTTTCGTTTGGAAAATCTTGACAAATCGTTAAAATGTCCATAAAAATTCACTTCTGCATATGTTGAGGGACGCCTTTCGCATGCAAATGACAGCATCTGAGCAGAAATCACCTACAAACAGCTCTTACTGATCAGAAAATCAAAAATTCCTGAACTTCAGAAACAAATCAGAGTTAAAAAGAAAACTAACGGTAACAGAAAGGTAGGCAGGCACAACGAGATCCATTGTATGCATTTCGAATGGATTAAATTTCGCGTCAGCTTTACGCATCAAACTTGGTTTGGGGACGTATCCGGAACGGCCATTCTGCTCGAAAAATGCAACATTCATTTGGAAAGGTATATCAGGTGTTTGCATATTTACAGCTGTCATTTGGCAACCGCAATTCCAAAATTTCTATAAAAAATCTGTTTTTGAAAGCCTTCAAAACGATTTAAAACATTCAACAAATTAGCTTAAAAGGCATCATGATGAAAAAGTACAATAGGCCAAAAATTGCTCGAATCAACACGTTTGCCCTTTGGATAAACACGGGTAATTTGTTTCTTGTTGTGATTCACGAATTCGATTGGATTCTCTTTCACCAGTTCATAAGCACGAGATTCGTTCATCGAAAATATTCCATAACTCATCTGTTTACCTGCACAAGTGATTTCAATCGTAACATATTAAGAGTAAAAATGGAAAATGGTAATGACATTAAGTGTCAAATTACTTTTGAAAAATTTATCTACTTTTGCATCGATATTGATTTTCAAATTAATGCATACCGTACATGCAGCAATATAAAGTCTGCTAGAAAGCTAAAAAGTATTAAAAGAACATGAAAAAAAATAATTGGAATTATCAATCATGAAAGAAGTTGATTACTTCAGAACCTAGAAATTGCAAAAAGTGGAAAAGTTACTTTCGCAATCTGTAAACGATGTGAACTTGCCCATTGCGCGCATATAATTCACGAGATCCGATAGTTCACGAGCAACAACCTGCAATTATTTGGGGATTATGAATGATTTCAAATTTAAGAAATAGTAATTTATGATCTTGGGATTTCTTAAGATAACAATAACTGACTGAGTTTTCTGACTGTTCCTGCATATTCGTCCCATTTTGGTCCACAATGTCGTCTAAATTTCAAAAATAATATAATGCAGAGAAACGACCATATCATTAGCTAAATAATTCGAATGGACAGAAACAGAAATAAATTTTAAATTTGAATTTAATTTTAACTTAATTTTAACTTTAAAAGCGCAGAACTAAAAACTGTTTCGGTAAATTTAAAATCTACCTTTCTCACTGCTTTCACTTTCACTGCGATCACTTCCCATGACACTTTGTGATGTTGACGCTGAAATAATCACTTGAAATCACGACGTTCAGATACAGCATATTTATAATGTATGCAGCAAGCAAAGAAATGGAAATCACTGGGAACAAACCTCTGTCAAGTCACTTGTAGAATCCAAGAAGGATTCCAGTTTCTGAATCTATTCGAACACTTAAAGGAGAGACTATTGGAAGAAATACTTATGTTACAAATATTAATTTCAACTTCAATTTGAGCAACATTGAGTGATTTTGAAGTTTTTTTAGCATTATTTAATTAACAAGAACATTTTCAATAATATTTCAGCCATCTTATTATGAAAGTATCAATAGCATGAGTGGATGAAAAGAATGGCACTCAGAGAGGAAAGCCATAGCTGTAGGGATCTTATGAATATCTAATTTTAATAATTAAAAAGTTTTATGAGCATCAGTTTTGACTTACTAAGTGATCTGCTAAAAAAATCCGCCGCTTCTGCATCATTGATTTTTTTATTCTTAATCAGAATTTTTTTCCTGAGCACATTTGGAGACGGCAAGCTCACACCCTGCTTGATCTAAATAACTCTAGAAAATTTAACAATTTCATTTAATTTTCATTTAATCCGACCAGTTTTAAGTTGTACATGGTTCACAGATTAGATGTTTAAAATCCGAAAGATTAAACTTCGATAAAAATAATGCCACAGCATCTGACCGGATAATTGTTCAACGGTTCGGTGAGTAAAAAATTTCCGAAAATTTCTCGACAATATAATGCTATTTTTTTCTGCTGCTTCACGGAACAATGATTTTCTAACGATAAAATAACGGGAAATTCAGAAACAACGAATGCTGTCTCCGCAATCGCTATAATAACATCCTGAAATTCGTTCTATGCAAAGATGACATTCATTAATTTATATTGCCATTGTCAAGCGGGATGTTTGTAGAGTTGTGCAAGGTTAGATAAAATGAGAATAACCGCTTGTTTAAAAGGCATTCTGACAGAATGACTCGTACATCTACATCTATCTACAACCAAAAAGCAGATTTGAATTTCTGCAATTAAAAAAATTGACTATGCATGGTTGATTTTGAGAGTATACCTATCATTTTGGATCGAAATAATTTCTCATTGTATTCCTTATTATCTTACTTAATAATAATAAAATACAGCCATTCCATTGATTCGTGTTTTACAGAGACGCAGGAATTTACTGATTTTAAAACTGATTCAAAAGTGAGAAGTAAACCTTAAATAATATAGGAGTAACTCTTGTGAGCTGCGAAGGTCCGTGCGTGATAACTGGTTCACTGCCTGATCCGTCCCAACAGTCAAGTTCAATGGAACGACATCCGGATAATAACACATAACGATACATTTCCACAGAACTTTTGGAATTTATCTGGTAACCTATGTAAATTATCTTTAAAAACATTACGTACTATTGTTTTATTAAACAATATAAAATTACAGTAACAAACCAGCTTAATTGCTTAATTTTTATTGTCCTGATTCAGTGAGTGCTTACTAAACTGATGAACAAACTAAACTTTTTATCTGAAAATGCTTGCAATCTCGAAAAAAGTTAGTCTGGACAACTTTCCGGAAAATTTTCAGAACTTTCGAAGTCCAAAACCATTAAAAACGATATAATAACCCGTTTAAAAAGTCTAAATTAATCTTTTAATAGAACCGAAAAAAAAACATCATTTATTACCAAATCAGTTTTCATTCTTTCTATTTGTTAATAAGCAAACGACAACTTCATCTGTTAGTGATGTATTTCGTATAGTTGACTTTATTTTTTTAGTTAATTTAATATAATGGAATAAATATTACCTCTTAGATATGTGTTATGCGAGCTGTTGATGAAATAATGCGAAAGAGGCTTATGCATATTTTCTTCTTTTAGCATCAGATGGTCTCGGTGCATACTGATGTTGTACTCACTTAACAGAAATCTCAGGAATGATTCTTTTGTCAGCTGCTTTCCTGTACTTGAGAGAATCAATAAAGAGATAAGAAAGGATGCTAAATTTAATAACAATTCGTAAGGATCGAGATTAACAATAAAGTTAGAAAGTGGAAAAAGTATTTAACTTTGCAAGTGAAGGAGAGCAAATGTGGATTCAATTATAAGAAATATACCATTGCTGCCCATTTCGTTGATTAAATATTGAGCAATTTGTGAAGTGGGAGAGGGGTAGAGGAGTTCATTGAGCCTTGGATCGTAATGTTCCTCCTTGAGATATTTCGCAAAATGTTCTGCATCCACTTTCTCCTTTCCCGCAAATCTAAAATTATAATTTAGAAAACCACCACTACTGCACCATTGCTGATTTTACTAAAAGACAAAAATTTCCCGGGTTTTCCCTGACGTTTCTCGTTCTTTTTCACTCTTCTCTTTTGCTTGAAGCAAACTCAGATTCGAGAAATATATATTTCAAAGTCACTTTACCGTTCAAGCACTAAACAGTTTGCCCTATCTATCTTATCTATCATCTTTCCTACCAACTTTCTACTTTGGCGAAAAATTTACTACTCCATCACATATTTTGCAACATGAACTTTCAATAACTATATGAATTCCCACCACTTTAGTTTATTTGTGTGATAGAAAATATTTTCCGTTCAGAGAAAGTTGAAGGCGGCAAAAGTTTTTGGCTTACTTTTTATGAAATATATAATCGACGTCAGTTCGTCCACAGATGGAGCAGTAGCAGGAGAAAATGAAGTCGTTTGTTATTTCATCCACTGAAACCGTTTCCTAAATTGGTCCATTCAGTTATTAAACATAACATATTTCGAATTGTCTTCTTTTTCACCTCTCTGTTCCTTTTTACAGCAAAGTAATATGGAATGAACTAGGAGACAATTCAAATGATCAAAAAATTCAACCAGAACAAGTACAGACACAACCTTACTATGGAAGGCGGAAAGTGTTTTCAACGACTTCTCAACGTCTTTCCGATCTTCCTTATTTTTTGTGAATAAAACGGCATCTAATATACTGCAATAAAATTAAGCTTGTTTCACATCATCTCTTTGATATTACATTTATTTTCCTTTTGTTTTAATACATCTAAAACTGAACATTAGAAATGAAATCTGCAATAATTTCTTGAAATGTCCAAAAAACCCTTCAGTATCAGTTAGATGTGACGGTATTAAATCAAGCGGAAAGTTTTAAAAAATAAACTTGTGAATTATTCTGAATTAATTTAAGCTGAAACAGATATAGAATACACCGTTTAGATTACAAACTTATGCTATATAGCATTTCAATTTTTATACTATCTTAAAATATTCCTTTCATCTTAAATAAGGCTTTCAGGAGCAGTCCTCAAGTTACATTCACCTGTTAGCTTAAGAAGTCGACAATTTACAATTTTAAGGTATCATTAAGTTAAGGTTATTCAATTCAACATTTCAGAGCAGAATGCGACTGAATGCCAAAGTGGAAATACGCTTTATTCGATTCATTTTTTTTAAAAAAAACATCGTCTTGCACTGTGATTTGAAAGTTTGAAAATCGCCTTCATATGGTTTTTTTTTTCTTAGGCAAGCGAAATGTTTGCATCCATCAATTTTCGATGAAGAAAAGGGGAAAAGCGCGATGCCTACTTCACCTTTTTAAAGTGAGCCATTAAGTTGCTGCGTTACAGTCGGACAAAAAGACAACTAAGTGTGTCAAGGAAAAATGATGCAGTCTACGTCATTTGCATATTGTTTTTTTGATTACAAAAGGAAAGTTTAAATTATTTATTAGAAGCAACATTCATCTCTTCCAAAGGCAGCTTTTATTTTTAGAAGTTCCATAAGTAGTAATTAAAACTGCTGCCAAATAAGCATACAATCTCGCGAATTGCAAAAAAGTTTATCATCCTTTTACCAGTTATGTCTGTTACTAATTTTTGAAAATCAATGGTATGTTAGAATCATTATATATTTAAGTAAACTTTCATTACTTCGTGAATAAATTGCTCGTTTCTTTTACGATCTCTCATAAATTATCAATGAACTAACTTATGCCAAAAGAAAACACACTCTAATCGTCAAAGAATTGAAAGGATTAAGAATTTCTGAGATTTGAGGACAGAAAAAGCAAACTCATTGATTGAAACTTGGTCGGTATCTACGGAATGTTTGATTTTGGTGAATAATCGCTGCCAGTAATAAAAGCAACTTTTAAGTGATAATTCCTTTAATGCTTTCACTGATAGTCGACGAAGTTCATTGAACCAACGCTGAAATTTATTTCTCGTTTCTTCCTTCTTGTTTTTAATGAGCAAAATTAAGCCATGGATTGATAAGGAAGGCTGAAAAATGAAGGCACAGATATATCATCCTATAAATTTCTCAACCTTCGACATTCGGAAAGCAGAGGGGCTCTTAACTTATTTTCCGATTTACGATCAAAACATCGAAGTGAGTTAGCATTCTACGTGCTCTTACGCGATTCTAATATCCTGTGTAATGCATGGATATATTGCTCATTTTCCTTCATAAGCGAAATATTTAAATCTTTGCGTAATCCTTTGTTTTTCACTGGAAGGAAAATACAAGTAGTACTTCTACAGCTCTTATCAACAATATGTTGTTACATGAGTATCTCACATTATTAGGAAATTTTTAGTCTGCTTTTAAATAAAATTTTAGTATTGGTGAGATTTTACAACGACGTTCTGTTCAGAATCGATAAAGAAAATTAGCGCATTCGGAGAGACGGCATCGACACCATACATCACGGTGAGAAAATGCGTTGACAGGGTAGATTTCCCTGCGACAAAGGTACCAGCAAGCGTTTTTTTAATATAACCATCCAACTGGAAAAATTTTTCGTGAAATTAAGGAAAAAAGTGTAGAATGGTAAGTGTTAAATACGAAAGCTCACAACTTTGATTCTATCTATTCTCTTCTTCAGCTGTTTACAGTTATGGAATCCGTCTGCTTACTTCATCATATTCGTACTTTGGCTACTAAACTTATCTATCATTGGTCATTTTGCGCTGTGAATAACAAAGAATAAGCTAGTAATGAGTAATCATACCGTTTTCCTATGGCATGTGGAAAAATCTTCCGATCTTGTAGAGTAATGGAATTATTTTGACACACATCAAAGGGATATGTATTTTAGAAATTATTGCATATTTATTACAACACGGCTCAATGCTTCAATGTACGCTTTTTCGTTTTATAAGCGAAATATTTTTTCAGAAGAACAGTAAATATGGCACGAAAAATTTGGATGTCAGCGTCACATTCAGCATTGGCCTTCATTAATTAACATAAACAACATAAATTTTAAGAGCCAGAGAGTTAAAAGCACAATCTGTGTTGGTAAATTTACTTTTTTTAGTTGAAAACATTGATAATAATACTAGCATCGAGCACTGAGCTATTCGAAATGACTGAAATTCCTGAATTTTTTTCCTTTGCCAACCGCAAAAATTCCATTTTCGGGTAACGATTGGACGGTGCAAATGACATTTTAATGGATGTATTTATGAGGTTAAAAATGCTTTCAATACCATTCCATTCTCACATAGTGAAGCATTCAAAAAAAAAAGCTTATTTCCAATGTACTTAAATGTTGTCTTATACTCTATGTTACTGAATAATTTCCTCCTGTTTACATATACCCGAAGAAGATAAGATTAATAATTGCATGCACTTTTTGATGAATTCCTTGTCGTCGCGAATTCTCCGCACAACAGCCCGAAAATACATCAATGAGATCATCGATATAGCAAAATTCCGAAGCGATCACTTCATTGCCCTGGATCGCAAGGTAGAATTAATGTCTAAAATCCTACTTACGCCAAAGGTATCTTACGGATCCTGTCTACACTCTTCTGTATTTAGTTCACCCGTTTTCTTCCTCCTCACTTTTTATCTCTCCCATCCCTACAAGATATAAGTAAACCAATTAGGAAAAAAACCTTATATTGTTTCCAGAATAATAATAAACCGTCGCGACTCAATGATAAATGTACAAAGCGTCCTTCAAATTGGTCAGTAATCTGAGAAAAAAACATGAAAATGAGATTAGATTTATACCAGATTGAATCAGATCAGATGAAATTAAATTGATGCGCATGTATGACTAGGAAGTTAACATTTGAAAAACTGAAAAATAAGCTTACACTGTCAAATTTGTAAACTTGTTCACCAGTGGTAAAATAATCATCGATTAAGACTTGATGATTTTTTGTGCTTAGTAGACGATGGATCGACATATTCTTTCTACTCAGCAAACCTCTCCTTTATTTATATGTTCATCAACTCTTCTAATTTAAGCTTTTTTCCTTAATTTCGAATCTGAAGAAAGAAATAAAAAGAAAATATCAACAAAGAAAATAAAGATCAACAATACGTATCTTATAACACCTATGATACACGCAATAGGTCATCACCTTTAGCGACTTCAACAGACTGTTTCAAGTGTAAATAATGGACGAGTACAGTATCAAGGGAAACTGCTACGAAATACTTTTCTGAGACAGTCCAAAAAGATATTTCAAATCGTGAATTTTGGAAAATAAAAAAGTAATAAATTATCACAGTTATATTATCTTTTTTCGTCACTGAGGACGTTGCTTATTTGATGATGTGATAGGGGAGATATCGAAGCCTTCGCTATAAAGATATAAATGCATGAGAGTAAAGTTGATCGAACAGCTTGCAAACCATATGTCTATCGTATAGATGCATGCAGTTTAAGTTTTGTTTGAATTATATTTTAGATTATTTAATCATTGCCATTCTCCTGTGATGTAAGCAGTTTTACTTCCTTTCTTCAATATTTCTTTTGCGATCATTTGTTAGAAATTGAAATAATGGACGATATCTATTTGTCTATGACTATCATGAAAAAGATATCAATTGAAAAGCAAACATTTATTTACAAGGATACTTGCTTAATCTGAGTTAGCACAAGCTTCCAATCAATGCTTAAATCTTTCCTTTCCGTCATTCCTAATTTACTCTTGAAAAGAAATATCTGTAAAGTAAAAGCGTGGCCTAAAATAAGAAGAGTTAATAAAACTATCTTGCTACTTTCACACAATTATAAGCAATTTTTCCAAATTTTGGATTTTTTTTTAATAACTTCATTGAATAGTTTTTCAGCTTGTAACTTAATGGATGCAAAAATGGTGAAAACTAAATTAAGCAATTAACATGAAACTTTTATAATCAAACTTGGGAATGGAATAAATCTGAACTTGGATCGATAAAAGTAAAGGATTTTAAGTAAAGAGCAATCCAACTGGCCGAGAAAGCTATTTCTTGCTCCTTTTCCTATGTATGAAAAAAGGGCCAGTACGATGGATTTCATATTCCGAAAAGCATTCCTTCCAAAATTCCAAAAATTCACGCCAAATTCATGAGAGAAAGCGTATCGCATTTTCTTTTAACAAAAAAGATACAAAAGGGAAAAAAGAAGGATGGAAGCTACTTGTCCTCAATGAAGTTAATATGAAAATATATAAAATGTAGATACAGTAACAGCTGGAAAAATATAACATATGTTCCTGCTTACAATTTCACATATACAAAATTCAAAGAAAAGCAATTTTTCTCTTCAGGTTATGAAACATACTTTGCATATGTGAGCTGCTGGTTTTATTAATTTTTGGCAAATGCGCCAAAAATCAGACTCGTAAATTCTAAATTCGGAGATATGTTGAAGATTCTTTTAAACTGTAATACTGTTTTTATAAAATCTATCAGAAAATTTGATTTCGATACAGTGATGACAGCGAAATTTCTTTTTTAGGTATAAGTGTAGAGAAATACAACAATATTTTGGACTACAAACTGCGCACTAAGGAAGTAATTCTTTCCTCTAAATGATATCAAAATTTTGGAAAATTTCTTCGGAAACTCGTTCCTCTAAATAATATCAAAATTCAAATATGCTGCAAAGATTTTTGACATTTTTAGAAGTTCGGACTAACGAATCTTTAACTATAGAATGAATTATAGCGCCAAGTTTGAGCACTCTTAAACGACCGGTAGTATGATAGTAGTACGGTTGTGGTATGATGTCACCAGGAGACTCCTCCCTCTAAATATCGATTATACTTTGTGATAGTACTAACAGTACTAAAAACTTTTGTGCAATAACATCATTTCCAGAAATGATTGACTTTCGGTATTCGATAGAAATATGTTAGATAGATGGAATATACCAATTTGTTACTAAAAATAATGATGACAAATTGATATGTCTGACGTTCATTGCGATGAGTTGTCTGAACGTTCCGGGATATCATGATAGTAGTTTCTAATTCTTTAACCGATTTTTATAACAACAAGGAAAAGATAAATGAGAAAGAAGAGAAGAAACTTGCGAGTTCATAAGTCCCTATGAATAAATATTACTGGTAATGAATATCAAGTATTTGGTTGAACAAGAATCAATAAGCTCTCATCGTGATATGGAAATATTGTGTCCGAAGGATAAAAAAGAAGATAAGGAGATGAAAAGTCAGTCAAATATATTGATAACGAATATCAAGCAAGATGATCACATCAGTTTCCTTCTTAGATTACATACTGCGCACTGCGGAAAAAATTCTTTAAGATCAAGTAAGCTAACAAATCTAGCAAAAAGAGTGGTATTTTTGCGCATAAACTCAGTGAACCAAAAGAACTATTAGTATTGAATAGTGAGTGAATAGACGCCTTATGGAATGTACTTTACTGAACAAAAATGCTAAACGAATTGAATCAACGATAGTAACAATATTACGTACCAAATAACTGGAGGAAACCTTAACTTAGGGTGTATCAAACCTAATGTATCCATCTTTGGCTCGTTATTTTGATAGACGGACTGGGAAGCTCATCGTAGATCATTAAACGATAGAATTTGAAGAACTTGGCCAATACTTGATCATTAGAAAATAATAACCTCAAGATACCTCAAGACGAAAAAATTTGCATATGCAATCATAACCATAAGTGCTGCGGTTTTGTTCAAGAGACAGTTTAACTCACTATGCTAGAGCCTGCAGCTAACATTTGTTTTCTAGAAAAAGCTTACTATTCTTTGACGGTAACAGGAAAAAAGTTTGTCAGGCTCCAAACCACATCAATCTTCTTCACGGTAATCGATATTAATGGTAGTGGGTAACACAATTACATTAAACTGGAATGAATTTTATTATTAAAAAGATTTGGCATTTTATTATTGGAAAGATTTTTGCAATTCAGTATTTGATTACTAGACTCTTTAGAAGCAAACACTGCTAATTTAATGCTTTCTTCCTTTGAGGATTCTTTTCTCCTCAAGGTTAATTCTCTTTCAGTAATTCGATATCTCATTCGGATAACTCGCAAAGTCAGATTGACCTTGAGAAATACTGAACTGTACAATATTTCTGGAAATTTTTGAATTATTTACTTCCAAAGGCTGAAATCTTCTCCCTACATTGTTTCAACTTTGTAAAAAGAACTGTTCATTGTGCTGCAACAGAGACCTCAACAGATGTAGAGGATGAGGCTGAGGTAATGAGGACGTCGTAAACTCAGCTGATCTTAAAATCTTTATGAAAATACTGCAACACAAAATAAAACTAATGACTGCCGCGGTGAAGCGTTGACTCATCCTGCATCGATTGATGGATCGATATGTTTTACTTAAACAAAGAAGGTGGTGGTCAAAAAATGGAATTAAAACGAAATATACGGGGAGAAAGTGGAGGGAATCGATTGGATCGACATTCTTCATACTAACATTATGAAGAATGAATCAATAATCAATTCGTGATGGTCTGGGTAGTGTCATCCACTTGCCACCGTGATCGATACCGATGAGACAGTTTCAAACCGATGGGACAAACAAAAACCAATGGAAAGAATCAGTTTTACTGAAAACAGAAATGCAAAATGGTTGGAATGAACGAATGTTGTTTGTCTAATACAAAGAACAAAGATCAAACAATGTGGATCCATAAACGGTTTCCTCCTTTTTGGAAAATCTCCAGCTCCATGCGAACTACCTGAATTTCTGCTCATTAAATTTCGATCAATGATCAGTTGAACTCTACAAAGCTCGAAGAACGCAACGATGTTTTAAATTAAATAGGAGTCAAAACTTGAATCCTTCAAAAGTAGATGCCACTGCTAGTAATTCTGTATATCTGTCTCTCCCATCTTCATGACTAAAGGAACTCTTTCTTCCATTCCATTCCGAAAATAATTTTCATTCTTCTGGATGGAAACTTTGTTAATAGGAAATGTAGTCGGATTCATGAGGTAGTCGGATTCATCTACTTATTTTCATCAGCCAATTATGCTAAAACTGGCCAAGTCTAATAATAAACCTAGATTATTATGGCGACATCCATGAAATACATTGCCTGAATAAAAATGAATGATAAATTGGAAGTAAATGGTACAAAATCAGAAAATGTTTAAAAAATTTGCTTGGGTGCATTGTTTTTCCACTCCTTATGCACGCAATGGCTTCAGATTTTTTTTTTTGTAATCAAGTTACTTCTTACAAGACTTTCTTTGATCAATCGAGTTACTTTTTTACAAGACTTTTTTGACCATTTTATTTTGAAATTGTTACAAATAAATTATATTAACCGAAATGTGTTATTAAAAATAGGAATTTCGTCAACGAATAAGCCATCACATCATTTCTGGAAAGGTTAATAGGCGAAAGGACAAATGCAAACAATTCAAGTGATGATACATCAACAAGGAGTTTAATAAAAAGTGAAGAGCAGTGGATTGCCTAACAGTTCGTCTCATTTTTTGCTTATTTATTTTGAATTTCAGTGGGGAACCATCCAGACCATTCGGTCCATAATAACTGCTTCTCAATTCTATTAGATAAAAAACGAAATTTGAAAAAAAGCAGAAAAAACTTTCATTTAGCTGCGCATTTTTCCTTAAGCGAGAAAGAATGCAAATAATTTGAGGGGGAAATGTTCGCCTTTCTCCTCAGTTCTAGACAAGTATAATTCTCTTTCATTTATTATTCAAATTTGTTAAGTTGGACATCAGAATTGACCACTGCTAGCTTTGGTTCTTCAACATGCTAAACAAGATTTGATTTCTATAAAATCTAGTTCGAATGATATAATTAATTACAAATCACCTCCTATTCCTCTCAGTTCCATTTCTGTTATGTTTAAAAGATTATATGGTCAGCATAGTAAACGCATATTTAAGATGTCCAACAAATAAAAAAGCTTCAAGAAGTGAATCGAAATCCAAAAATTAATTGAAGGATTAAGCTAGGCACTGAAAAATTTAGAAGTCCAAGGGACCAAAATTAATTTCACAAATGGTTCAATAAAACTAAAAAAGCTGAAACCAGATGAAAAAAGCTGCGCATTCGATCAAGACCGAAGATAATATTGAAATAAATAGAGGATGCAAAATGAATAAAAAAGGAACAAATAGAAATCTCCGTCTAATTTCAGAAAATTTTGATTTCTTACTCATCTTTTTAAATTTGGGGTTAAAATAGTTTACTAGATTTCTTGCCATTGAAGTGCAGGATGATAAATAGCAGAAAAGATCCTTTTCCATCGAATAGATTTATGGTGACATTATTTGAATACAAATGAATTTAAACATAACTTTATTTCACTTGAATTCCCGCTGTAAAATATAACATTTTACTGGAGGAACTCAGGAAAACAAACTGAGTATAAAAGTGTATGGTTATGATGATGCGTTGATTAAAGCCAAATAGTTGTTCTTCTGACGAATCTTCTAAAATTAATGTTGATCTTTAGAGTAAATGAGTTAGAGCACGAATAAAAGATAGTAAAAGAAGCATTTGAATGTAAGTATGAAATGTTGCTTCCGGTTAGGTTAAGGGCTGTGTTACCGTTTATGTAAACAATGTTCGTATCTCGGGATTGACTTCAATATCTATCTAAAGTTCATCATCTGATCGATACAAACACGTCGAATATGTTCAACATGGTTTTACTGATATGTTTCGTGATTTCATCATGATCATACTTAACCAAATATTTCGATAACTCAACAAAGTTCGTCCGTCGCATAACACATTAACAATTAGCAGTGGATACCAATAATTTCACTCCGTTTTTTCACCTTATCGATTATTAATAGACACTTTTCAGCTCCTTTGACATCAAAGAAAAAGGCTGAATTTCCATGGCAATAGACTGGAACTGTTCGGATTTTGAGATAATGTAGGAAATTAATGAACTGAGTGTCATCTAGCAATTCTCAAGGAATCAGCGGTAACACACATCGCTATGTGTTCTTGTTAGTTCAAATTGAAGAATTTAAAACTCGCTAAAGTTCATTTGCTTGCATAAATTTATAGCAAGATGGGAAATCACAATATTTTGCATAACCGTTGCCGTTATAATACGGATTATCACAGACTGTCGTGTCACCTGAAATAATCTACGCGGCTTAGTTTCCTCAATGAAAATTCACATTTTTTAGTACCACAAAATATTAATTTTTTGCGTGTCATATATTCCTCTCTTTTATACTTTACTTTTAGCCTTTTTCTTTAATGTTGAAGGAATACAAAGAAAAGCCTGGAAAGTTGGGTCACATCAAATTCCGACAGAAATAAAAACACCACAAAAGAATCAATCATTTACTTGAGTTCTTTTTTTTAATATCAAAGCAAAGATTTTTGCATTTTCATGTGAACTAAAAACAAATCAAAAGCATTTATTTTTGATGAAATACGCGGTCAATCATTAATTGCTAATTAGTCTTCCCACCGATCCTCCTTCCTTCTACCTTCTACTTTCTAGCATCCTCCTTTTTCCCACCCTTATATTTTAATTTCTTCCTTAATGGTGCACCTTTGTTACAATTTCTTATTTACAACCTTTCCAAAACAATCTTTACCACAGCTTCCGTCAAAAATTCAGAAGGTCGAAAGTCGGTCATCGTCATTAAGCTTGAGGACTTTACTCGCTATAATTCATCATCGTGCTTTCGTAAAAACAGTGAGGGAATCGATTGCAACGATGAACGTTGGAATGATGATGGCAGTGAACTGCAATTTTCATAAGATTTACATTTCGAAAGCCAAAGGCTAAATGCGAAATCGAAATTAAGCACAACGAGAATAGAAAATGTGATCAAGATGACATTAATCAGAATTTCATTGTCGTCAACCCTACAGTTTATAAGGAAACAAATAAAGTGATACCCAATCCTATTCTGCGAAAGTTGTATATTTGATAGAGGAGGTAATAAAGCTGTCGTTGACCCTTCACCAGAGTAAGAAGATGTCGTATCATGATAGGATTTTGTCCTCAGATTTCTCGGTATTTGCTTCCTACAGGATTGTTGGCTCTAATTTTTTGCACAAAGCAATTTTTAGTTGTTAATTAGCGCGGGTAAAATAATGAAAAGACTTCCGACAAAAAGGTTTTCAATTAATAGAAGAAAAGTGCAATATTTTATCAAAAGAATATTTGAAATGTAAATCAAAATACATTAAAAGTTTAAATGCAAATCAAAATGTATGAAAGCTTTTAATCAAAGAACTTTCTGACCCTTCGGCAAAATGACACTTCTTGAAGCTTGTAATATGAAACGACAAAGAACTACTTGGGAAACAATGAACTGATGATGTGAAAGACATTTCAACCTTGTGAACAGTAGCAGAAAAAAGCGCTAACTTAATGCTTACCATTTTGACTTCCACTCTGAGGCTGAATTAACTGGGTTCCTGGATGTTGGCCGAGCTATTTGATTAGAAGTAGTCGATGCACAGATACTAGTAGAATCATCGCTGGTTGCGAGCAGAGCGCATGCTTCCGTGAATTCAATATCGCAAAAGGCATCCGACAATACACTTTCAACATCAAAAGCGTTTGAAAGTGAATGAGTCGATTGGTGGCTGATATCTGATCGAATCAACGATGAATCTCGTAAACCTACGATCAGATGTAATTACATTGCTATATGATAGCTCTCTCGTCATTATAATATATTTTTTTCAACAATTATTATGAGTAGGAATTAAATACCACGGGAAAAATGTATGTCCTCTTCAAAAGTAGCAATATTTGCAGAATGCCTGATGTCGGTTTGTGTAGTGGCATGATGTGTATGAGGTATCGGTTGACAAACTTGGTCCATGAACTGCTCTAGTTTCGAGTTCCCCACAAATTTGCTGAACAGCATTGATCTAAAAGAGAAATTAATAGAGATAACGAAAAAATTCAAATTATATGTTGAAAGAACTTATGAAAAGGTGAGAAATGAGCGAAAATATTTTAACATTGCAGAAAAGTAATTCCTTTTATCTTTTTTTTACTCATCGCCAATCATTGGAACCTTAGACCAGTCAGTGGATAATGAACCGACAGATGAATTGGCCATTACAGAGTTTTTCTTTTTTTTTTAACTTCTTTGGGTCCCAATTATCGACACTTTGACCAAAAGTTGACTTGAAGTGAATGTTTGTATAACTGACACGATATCACTTTCGACAGTTTGATCCTCAATTGTAGTCATTCCTATGATATTATTGAATGCTCGGGTAAGTATTGCAGTTGGATCTACTTTCAGGTAAGCGAAAAATTGTTACTCTGACTCTGATACGAATGGAGAAAGGGAATAGTGCAAAATAAGATTATAATCAAATGAAAATAGGCTTCTTAATAGTGATGCTATGAGAGTCGAAAATATTTGAGTTACTTAAAGTTTATCTAGTAAGCTGTAAGTAATATCAGTATCGGCATTATCAGTATTGTTAGCATTAGTACTGTGATAGCAATAACTGATACTTGTCATGAATTCATGTCAACTTACTGAAAGTTATCATTTGGGGTGTAAAATTTTGCTTTTTCCAATGCTTGCACAGTGCGAATAGCTGGGATGTGCTTCCATAGATAATCGATTAAATCACCTCTTCGGAGTGTCGGTCTTGAAAATTGCATTACTTCCGGACTGATTCTACATTCTTGTACTGAAAACACAGTTAATAAATAGTTGAACTGAGAAAATTAATTGACAAGTGGTTAAACTAAGGGTTTCTTCGGCTTTTATTCTTTCCGCTAAACGGCACTAATTTATTTACCTAGACAAACAGTAATTTTCAGAAGGAAGAAGAAACTCACACTGTTGTTGTTGCTCTTGTGATTGGTGTTGAAATGGGATACACATTTCGGATTCAGATTCGATATCAGAATTCATTTCAGCAAGTTGTGATTCAATCATATTGTTTGCGATACGCTCCGCAATCCATTCTTTAAATCGTTTTGGCAAACTCCGCATTGCTTTATGTTGTTTCTCCAACGGAACCGTTAGTAAACCACCTGAAGCGAAACATGCCAAACATATCATTTAACTGGACCTCATCAGATTGCATAAAATGAGTTAAGGAACCTCACGAAAACTTGTGGTATTCATTCCAAAAAAGAAAAGATTCCAAGTTGGAAACTAGTCCCGAAAAACTGAAAAGTGTCCTCTAACAACGATATTACAGCGAAGACCAAAGACAAACACAACTGGGCAATGGTTATTGTTATCATTAATTCCAAATTATTGCTACCGTAAATTTTTCGCTAAACCCACCTCCAGCATCAATTAGTAACAGTTCAGAATAACTGAGCGCTTCTTGCGCATATAGCTGCTGTTATATGCAAAATTCTTACTGGCCATCCCAACTTCGAAAGGAGGAATTTTGCAATCGTAATCGACTTCCTTCTTCGCAATAGCTGCTACCCGTTCAATTTCATCGATATACTCCTGTAGAAGTTGTCCAAGAATTTTTTCTAAAGCTACCTAGAAGTAAAGAGTAAGATAGTCAAATAAAGTAATCGTGAGCAAAATGCAACTTTTACTCTCGTTTATTAGCTAGAAAGAGGAAATTAGAATGGAAATGAAAAAAGCTGCTGAACTTCATAAAGATTTAATTTGAACTTAATTTTTTTGACGATACTTTATTGCTATTAAAATATTCAAATTTTGCAGGAAGAAACAAAGTAGTTGGCAATTATCTATGATTAACTAAATTTCCTTGCAAAATGATTTTCTCAAAACTTTTTGAGAGCAAGAAATAGAACTTCGAAAATCTTTTTAAATATTTATAAAAAGGATTTGCAAGTAATTCAAAAACTCAGTGACTAACTTGAATAAGATTAATGCACATTGATAGCAAGGCAAGTCCAATGAGGATTAATAGAAAATAACCGAGCATCATATCCTTGTTACCTGGAACAATATCGCCCAAGCCAACCGTGCTAAAAAGTATAATTTAATTAATTTTCAAGTCATTTTCATGCAAAACCGTCCAGTAACTGAAATCGGCCAATGAAAGTTGACAAAATCGGAAACTAAATTTGTAGAGTTCCGAAATTTTTCTAAATATAAGAAATAAATTGAAAAAGATTCATATTATCAACATGCATGCAGAATACCTTATGGAGACAAAGAAAAATAAACTGAAGTGAGGTATCCCCATTCAGGCTCATATAAGCAAAATAAAGCCGCTGAAAAACCAATCCAGAGGATAAGCATTGCTAAGGCGATCGGGATCGAAAATGCATTTTCGTGAGTACTGAAATATAGTGCTAATAACTTTCAGTTCATTTTTTCATCTCAACTTTCGAGCAGTGAGGATTAATAGAAAGTAACCGAGCATCATTTCTTTGTTATCTGGAATAAATATTTTGAAAAGTGAAATTAAAAAGGTTACAATTTTCTGGTGCTTTGCTGCATGAGAGTGCCAACTTCTGGATCTAAATTTACTTCTTTTACGGATGATGAATGAAGACTTCCCGTTGTAGATGGTAAATAGGTACGATTGTATAATGTCTAAAAAGATTGAATTCTTAATTTTCAAAAATAACTCTTTTATTCAAGTTTAGAAGATCAATGAAACAAATTCAAATGTAAAATTGCATTACAAGGCTAATTAAAATTGCATTACAAGGCTAATTTGAAAATTCATTTCGAAGAATTTTATATAATTTCTATTGGAATACCAAAAAGAATAAAAAGTTAACCTTCATGGAGACGCTTATCTTCCTCACACCTCCTACAAATTTCTTTCCGGTACTTCGTGACCGTTTATAAAATTTACGAAAACTTCGCGACAATAATCGACCAACATCTTTGAGAATAATTAAAAATATTGGGATGCCGAACATAATGTAAAATATGCTGGCTATTTGGCCAGCAAGAGTTTTTGCCACCGGTAAGCCATAGCCTAGAAATACAGAACGATGTATTAAGTAGGAGAAAAAACGAAAAAATGGAAGGAAAGGAGGAACTGAAAATTTTCACTTGTAAAAAAGTAAGTAAAAAAAAGTGATAAAAAAAAGTGAAAAGGTAAATATAGGTATTGATCGAAAGGAAAACGGCCTTGTTATACAACTTTTAATTGAAGTCACCATTCTTCTTTGATCTGGTGCTACTGGTGAAAATGTTAATAGCAGTTCGGATGTTTTCCTTTAATCATTTTTCTTCTTTCTGTGTCAGGGAATTCTAAAATAGATTTACACGTATACCGATTGTAGTGTACAGCTGTCCGGCATAGAACATCGAACCGTACCATGACCATGGACTACTAGCGTTGCGTTCACGGATGACACCTGTCAAATTTGTGTAATCAAGAAACCAGTTAACTGCTTCCTCTGCATACCTCACTTGTAAAGATTGGTCGTGTCTAATCACAGCATCATCGCATCGCAGTTCTAATATTCGTTTTGTTATCTATAAATACAATTCGGTTAATTTATTGTTCATTTGGTTTTCATTTTAATTTTTAAACATTGTGTAACAGCACGGAAAACCTAATATCAAGATTGAAGAGAACCTCTAACATATGCTGAACAATGTCACTTGCGCTTCTCGTCAACTTCAACTCTAAACAACAGAAATCGTTTTACACTGGATAACTAGTGGAAGCTATAAATTCTACCTGATTAAAAGCATAGTTATAGCTTCTACGGAACAGCTCCCTTTCACGTAAATCAAGTTCCAATTCGAGCTTACGAAAAATAGCAGCGCCAATCAGTGTATATGAGATCAGTACAATAAACGGTAAGAAATTATTTAAATGAAACTTCCGATAAGCCTGTTGTAAGCAGTGAAATATTTCATGCATTTCGTGTTATCCATTGGAAGGCCTCACGTTGTCCTATAATTCAGCATTTCGTAAATGACTTTTAGAATTACCCAGACAATAACAGTGACAACAAACTTTTATATCCTCAAATGCGATACAATGCTACTGAATTATACGATCAAAACCGCTCTCATCTACCTAATCCACTCAAAGTCTATCAATTTTCCCATATTTATGGAATTTGCTTAAAATCGTTACAGTAAGTTATCGATTTCTATCAGCAAAAAAATCCAAAACAACACGGAATAAGGTAGAAGCACTAATTAAAAGGTGAAATACCAATTAAGTATTCACTCCTCTCAATTATAACTACCAAAAATTACAGGACGGCCATTCAGCAAAAATGAATAAATGAGGAAATGAATTGAAGTAGTACTAACTCTATTTGAATTCAAAACATTTTAAATTCTAATGGTGTAAGTTCTGTAATAAATTGATAAACTTCTGAATTTATTTATTTATACACAAATATCAAAATTTGGAATGGAAAATTAGATAAGCACTTAGTGTAAATTATCGCAGAAAAAATTGAAAGTCAGGAATAAAATCAAGCGACAGATTTCTGTAAAGGTGAGATAATTATTAGTTTACATAATAAATTGCAACAATACCTGGCAAAAAGAAAGAGAAATTTTGTGGCGATGAAATGAGCTTCAAGAGTCACAAATGCTTTGGCTACCACTAATCGAAGTGTTAATGGTGAAAAAACAAGTTTAAACAGAAGTTTTTAAATTATTTATATATTTTTTGCATCGCGTCAGAAAAGAGCTCTGTTCAGAGAAAATAATTTATCATCATCCCGCAGCATTTTCGACGTATCGATATTGACTAAAGAAAATCTTGAGGTTTAAAGAAGAAAAAAAAGAAATTTTCCTCTATTGACAATGAATAAAATATTCTTTCAGCGATAATCAATTATAAATTTTTTCAACTGTGAAAGACCTGAAATTGACAAATCAACTTGTTCAAAATAAGTGTCACTAGAATTATGTATCCGCAGTGATACATAAATTTCTATTTTAAGCAAACCGAAATACGGTGCATTCAGAAATATTATATTCCATGAGCTCTGGAAGGATTGGATTGCAATCCAATCAAATGATTTTATAAACTGGTTGATCTCGGTCAGCTTTCAGTATGTAGAGTAAAGAATCATTTTTTGGAATGGAATGATCATTTTTCATTAACTGTGCCATATCAGGAATAATAATGGAGAAACGGAAGATTACAAAATCTTCGCCACCTTTATCAAAAGTCATATCGTAATGATGATGTCCCTTTTTATCAATGAGCTCTTTATTAAAAAAGAAAAAAAAGAAACTTGTCATGAAGAAATGAAAAATAATTTGGCTTAACAGAAAAATGTGGAGAGATGTCATGTTTGTGACTTGTTAGGCAATTAACCATTATGAACAGATGACATGTGTGGGAAGGAAGTGTTTTTCTTCCTAGTGATAGGAGATTTGCATCCGAAAGTGTAGCTTTCGGGACAAAAAACTTGCCAACTCATTATTCATTTATCAGTACTAAGCATCATCGAATTCTCACGGTCATTATACATGTGTTATAATGACGGAAAATTTGGATATCGCTTCCAGATACTGTGGTTCAGCAAAAAACGTACCTTTTATACCGTGAGACAAAGGACTTTAAATGGTATTAAAAAATATAATTTTTTTCGTTATCAATCATATCTGCTAAATTGTAGTCACATTAAAATTATGTAACAGACATCCTCTTAAATTTATGTTATCCTAACCTAGTGACAAATAAGTATCTTTTAAAATGAAACTGATTTTTAGATGTCTTCTACTTTTGATAAAATGATATTTTACTGAGTTGATAACTATTGTAAGTAGCATCTAAAGACTTCAATCTCAATTGAGATATTTCAATATTCATTTTAAAATTACTTCACTTTCCGATTCTAATCAATGCATTATCGCATCTTTTGGAGTGATTTCTCACATGTAGACAAAACTGCTTTATTTATCGTTTTCATCGCATCAAATCAATCAGACATTTTTGAAATGTGCGATATTTAATTCTATACAATCATATTTTCCAATCATACAAGGCTAGAAAACATTGACCCACTATAATCCATCTCTAATGTCCACTTGGTTTGTGGCCAATCAAATTGAGAATGCCAGCAATTTCTCAAATCCATTCATCTAGTCCACTTTCCAATTTCCTCCATCAAATACTGAACGGTTTGTTGTTATTAATGATCGAGTTATTATGCATTTTAGCATGAACTGGTATAAATTCAAACGGAAATTTGTATATATTTCAAAATTAATAAGTGTTGGTTTTTTTTTTGGCAGCAACCATCAAATGTTAACATCTAATTCGATCTCATTAGTTAAATTTATTAAGGATGTATTCAATTTTGCACTCTTTTTTATACTAAAATCATTAAATTTTAGTATCCGAAATAAAAAGCAGAAGTGAGATGTAAAATATTGTCTTAAAGCCTTTTTTCATACATATCCCCTAAGATTAAGCACTTTTGCTAAGCGTTTAATTAATTAGCATTTAGTTAATTAGCGCTTGATTAAGCACTTAATTAAGCACATATATATATATATATATATATATATATATATATATATATATATATATATATATA